ATATGTATTAATAGCACTCCATCTTATGAGACTTATTAATTCAAATGTTTTCTAGTACTAACAGTTACTTGGAAAATCGCGGTTAAAGTTAGAATGATATTTAAACAACAGCAAATATGAGGTTTACTCAGATTTTTCTCAAAGCAGGTATTCATGTTTTCCGTGTCTTTTTGTGCGTGACCCTCATTGTGACACGTTCTCTATACCAAGTAAGCGTGGGGCTTGTATCCAAATAGATGCGCGAAGGCAACGCAGTGCCTGTCGTTAAGGCTTTCGGTGTCTACCAGGGCCACCGTAAAATAGATAAATACATTTTGCGGAAAGGGGAATGACAGGCGTCGGACTGGTGAACGAAAGTGCAGAAAACAGCCGTCGGCCGTAACGGCACCAGCGGTTGCATAAAAGGACGACGCTTGCCGTCTCATCGTGGTTTCTTTCCATTGCGGTACTCCAGTCGAAGGGTGACAGAACCCCAGTTTCCCAGTTCCTCTGCATAGCTGCTACCCCGCCCCCCACTTGCTATGCTTTTCCGTTCAATGCTCTCTTCCATGCTTCCACAGTCGGCCCACTCCTCTAAAGCACTGTAACGGAAGAGCAGACCACGTTGTGCCGAGCTATTGCATCGGCGACACCAGCAGAGAAATAGAAGCGACGTACGCAGCGCGTTAAGCAAATCAAAGCGCTGCTGCGGTTGTAGCACGAAGCAGATGAAGCTGAGGTAGCCCAGAAAAAAAGTCTCGTACAACGAATAATAGCAGATGTAGTATTGCTGGCGTCTGCGGTGGTGATGTTAAGAGTAACCTTCTGGGTTGCCTGCTATCTGTGGCCTACAACAGGTGATAGCAAGAGAATGCGGGAAAAACGAACTAAAATAAAGTAGCGAGAAGAAGAACCAAGTGACAATGGTGCGGGTGGTGGACTTCTTTCGGTGTTGCCCCAACCTCTGTCGCTGTAGTGGGTGGCGGTAAGGAAGAACAAGGGACTTGTTAAAGGAACTGGATATAGAACGATAACCAGAGATAGAACGCGAGGTGGGGGAAATATGGAAGCCTATAGAACGGTGGTCGCGCGAGCCTCTTCCTGTTGGCGATTCCCCGTTCGTAAGCTGTCATCTAGTAAAGAAGCGGAACAACAATTGAATTGCAGAAAAATACAGCAAGAGGAATGGACAAGAATGGTTCAAAGGACATGAAGCGCTACCATTGTTGGCAGTGTTGTCGGAGTCGTCCTCTCTTCTCTGCTTCTTTTATTGGCTTGTACGTACAATGGTCCTTTTTTGACTAAAAGGACCTTTGTTGAGATCCGACGAAGTGAAGGCGTGTATTTGTCTGTGTGAGAAAAAAAACCCGTGTTTTTTTGAGTGATAGTGTATGGTAACACTAGCAGTCGCAGTTGGAGCAAAACTATGAGGCCAAGGACTGCCAGTATTACAACTATGAGTGCCGCTACCATAGTAAACTACAACTCAAAAGAATACGGCCTTCCCCTCTTCCCAAAGGGGAGATTGTCGCGCAGCATCGCTACGTTTTTTCTTCTAGGTCTACTGCGTCATGCCCCGGACCTCTGGGTACAGGCAGCGAAAGACAGAAGAGGTCGTAGACAACACAGTCACGGGAACAATGAAAGTAGGGAGAAAGGGCCGAGCGGTGCAACCGCTTACAGTGAGAATATGAAACCCGGAAGCCGATGGGGTTCCTACTGATAAAATGCCCGACGAGAAAAAAGCGAAAAAAAAAAAGGGAAAGTCAACAGAAACGTGTTTGAAAACCGAAAATTTAGAACCCGTTGTCATGAGGAACAAGCAAGCAACGGTGGGATGAGGAGAAGGGATTCGAGGGCCGATTGCAAAAAGAATAGTATAATAAGTATTCCAGCCTATGAGCGAGCTACCATCACCGAACGGACAGACCGAGGTGTTTGTAATCTTTTGATTTTTGTGAGCAGCAGGGGATCGCGCATAGCGAAATGTAACAGAGTCAACAGCCGTATAAGAGATTAGCAGAAGAGCGTTTATAGGATATGTATAAGCACTATCATATCCCAAATATGGGTTGAGATGCATCGTTTGAATAATATCGAACGGAATAGAAAGAATGGCAGGCAGCGCCTACAGGGCTCCGCTTTTCCTGTCATCGAGCAAAAGAAGCTAAGTACACGACACCGCCAGATAAAGGAAACAGCAAGAGGCAGCGGACGAATAGATAGTGATGATGGAAAAAATGGTGTTAGGACAAAGCCGGTGGAGCGGATCGAAAACACTACCTCGTCGAAACTCTATAGCAGTTAGTTATACGCTGACTTTGATGTAACAATCGATGGCTGGTTTATTAGTTAGCCAATAAACTCTTTAAATAAATTAAAGTACTTTAGACAGTACTTGTATATGACAGATCATACACAACTGGAAATTTCTATTTTGAATTAAAGAAGAAATCAGAACATAAGCTTGTTGTCGTATCTGATCCTTTTTTTATTGCTTGGTTACTCATGTCACCTGCGGCGAACGATATGTCAAAGAATGAAAACGTACCTAATATTTACGAAGTAATAACGACCTTAATTATACATTAGATTACTTGCAGGTTGGTCTTCTATTTATAAAATTGAACTAATAATTCAAATTTTGTATTGGTAAGTAATAAATCTGGTTCATATTCAGTTATGCTGACACACTAACGTTATAGACGTTTCTGACCGTATGCGTACTGGATATCACTTTCTAAAAGAATTATTTTTGCTTGTGAAAGCATGTCATTTTTTATCTAAATTTTCTGACACTTTTTTCAAAAACGTTAACTCTAGTAATCTGCTTATTTATGCAAAGTGTTAGGCTGTACCATGTCCGCTACGGACTTCTCCCGTCGTTTGTTTTCGCTCATCTTTTAGACAGCTTGTTAATTTTATTTTTTGGAAACTAATATTTTTATGCACAGTGAACTGATCAGTGTGAGCTTTAACACCTTGTAAAGATGCAAAATCAATTTCAATAAGGGGAGTTCTACGTAAGGCAAAATGTTTTATTTAACCTCGTACAATTTTTGAGGACTCACTGAAGATGCGTAGGGGGTTCATGTTGTTATGATAAAATATGACTTTCGTCTTGTTCGCCATAGCTGGGCATTTCATAGGGATTAACGTTTGGATTGTTTGAGAGAAGCTCATAGAATAGCAGGTTCTAACAATCGCACCAAATGCACACACCTATATTCTCTGGATAAGATCCGGCTTTGGCTTCCATTTGAAAAGCTTTGTCCACGACCTGCCTTGGATGACGTCATTGTAAATTATCCATTTATCATTGCTTGTCACTGTCTTTGCAAAAAAGGGGTTGTTTTCGTTCAGTCTTACAAAAGATCGGCCGTGTGAACACGGCTTCTCTTAAAGTAGAGATCTGCTCAATTTACATAATCGTTGCTTGACAGATGTCAATTGATTTGAATGCTCCTGTGTTTTCTGCGATCTGATGCGCGTTCTGATCGAATGAAGTGAAAATTCCAGGGTCGTCATAGCCGGTCGGTCAACCTGGACGTGCCTTCTTCGATGCTGAAGTCGCCTTTCTGAAGGCAAGCGAACTACTTTCTGACCGTGCGATCGGTTACAGCGTTGAGTCCATGTGCCTGATATATTTCCTTATAAATTTGGTTCGCTTTCAGCCTTTTCGAGAAGGCAGACTTCAGCGTTGACCTTAAATACACTTGTGACATTTCCTTGTTTGAAACGTTGTACAGCTTCACGTAAATGCTCAATCAAATTGACCATGGGGTAAGAGCGAAACCTAAACTATACTGAACAATCGTTTTTCATACTACAACTTTCAATTTTTCGTTGTGGGGCTAAATAGCTTGAAATTCTAAAATAAACTTATAAAACTCCAAAATAAAACTTATAGGGATGACCTAATGAAGATTACACACAGAATGGCAACCAATGTAGATTGGGCGAATGTAAGTACATACCTTCGATTTAATTGCTCAGAGTTATCTGTTTAGGGAAGAATGAGCAGGGCAATTATGCAATCGAACGAGCTGTGCATAAGAATAACTTGGTTCAATGTTGTTCCAGGTAGAGCGTTTGGACAGCGCGTTATCTTTACCGGAGTAAGAATACTCGGTAAAGAAGCTGATGAGCAACTCAGTGTGACAACAATAACTTACGCGCAGCCAGCACATGAAGAGCTTATTTTAGATTGCCTATATCATATTCAAGCTTTGGACAACACGTTGTCTTCATCAACTGTCAATAATACGATTGCTACTCGGATCATCAGCAATGACCTCGTTGTGAAATGGTTTCGCAATGAGGAAGCAGCGCCATTTTATACTTGGATTTCCGCAACTGGATCCCGACTTTTCCATCATGCGTATTTAGGTAAATAGAAATTATGGTTGAATTTACATTGATTTCTAATTAGCGTGAGGTCTTTGGAGATGGAATTCGCGGTGGCCATTGATATCGTCGGTAGCTGAGCTTCGCGACAGTTAAGACAATGAAATTATTACATCGCATCAACCGATATCGTAAGCTAATATATCACAAGGGTATATATTTATAACGATACAACATATAAGAGTAGCTAGAAAATAAACGTGATCGATTTTTTAACTTATTTTCAGATCTTATCGATTCACGTTATAAATACAACGATGCCCCTAAGGAAATGTTTCGCGCTGTAAGGTTTCCGCGAGCAGTAAAAGAGCTTTCGGGTAATTTTACCTGTGAAGTCCTCGATGCTCAAGGTGGTGACGTGGCCACTGACGAAAACGAGCTTTCATTTGATACATCAGCGAAGGACCACCTAGAATTGTACATATACGGTACGTTCCTGCATTTTGAAACTTTCAGTATTAGCCAATGGATCAAAATAGCCTTCTTAATACAGATTCGTAATTATGAGCTTCATTTGAGCACTAGGAAGACTCAATACTAGCACGCAGAAGACGAGCGAATAGACATTATTTGCTTTACTTTTTCAGATGAAGAAAAGGCCAGCTTTAGCCGTTTACAGGCAAGGCTTGTTTGCCCCTTAATACATCTTTTTTATTCTTATCTACAAACAATTTATGCAGATGGCACAAAAGTCTATTGTCCAATAACGATAAGTGTTAGCAGATTTCGCCATTTCTGTTCTTGGTTCTAAGGCTTAGTCTTCTTAAAAAAACGTATATGTTGGGCAGGGCGCAATTGCGACCTTGAAGTCTTATTCGACAGAAGGTAACTTCGCGCTTCCACAACCCGAGGCGACTTTGGAGCCTGGGTGTTATTAAAATCATTAAGCCTGCACAAAACAAGACAAATCATTTAAGATGTTCTGATACAAGAAGCCGTTATTTTGTCTATTACTAAATGGGCTCGTTCTGTCTGGCGTCCAGAAATAAAATGGGCTAGAATGAGATCTAGTACTCGTCAAACACTCTTATCGAGCAGTGAATTGTAATACAGCTCCTCATAGTTATAGTTGTTATTGTTAGCTCAATTCTAGCCATATTAAATATATTTGTTTTTCAGTTACTTGGAAAATATTGGCTAGATAATGACGAAGGAATTGCAAAAAACCTGTTCGTTTGGAAAATAAGTTGAAAAATTCATGCAGATGTAATCAAATCCGTCAGTAAAGTTATCCGTATTATTAATTTTCTCTCATCACGAAGATCATCGTACATTTGGAAGTTGATTTCGTAAAAGAAATCTATGCAAAATGACACTTCCTTGCCAGTAAAACTAAATTATTACATCCAGGATAGAAAGTGATAAAAATGATTTTCCTCAGTTTCCTAAGCTCCAATGATTCTTATATGACGATATCCGTAAGTCAGGTCTTCGGATAGTTCTTATTTCCTGGGTGGGAGATTTACAACAAACAAATTCGATTATTCAAAGATCCCAGCAGTTAATAAGTGAATTCAATTACAGACGTTCCTTCCGTATTCGAGTTACGATTAAATCTGTCGCAAAGGACACTGCACTGTCTAGCTAGTACTCGGGAAGAACCTTCTCAGCTGCGACTGGATCTTTATCAGATAGACTACGATGCTGTTGAGCGTCCGTTTGCAAGAACTGATTTTAACAGTAGCGGTATCAGTTCAGGACAAACCCGGAAAGGAAATCAAGGAATTGTAGTTATCGAGGGCACAGTGGCTCTTCAGGTAAACACTAACCCGTGTCACCGTAAAAGCTCTATTAGCCATAAGATAGGGCTTCATCTTGAGTACTTTGTGTTCGGTGGCGTCGAGTACAGTTCCTTTATCAACGCTGATATATGTTATTCATTAACCTGTTTATAAAGCTAGAGGACCACGTATTACTAAGTCTAGCTGACGGCAATAACTGTCGAGAAATACTGTATTTAGCTCTTGTAAGACGCTTGTGTTGTTTCGATCCATGGGAAAACGCTGCAGTATCACTATATGTGGTACCGAAATGTTAACCGCTATGACATTTTTTGTTACAGAATGAAGACGTCGTCGTTCCGAGAATCGGGAATAGCCGGACATTTTTCTGCGACCTCATATTTACACGCATAAGACGCACAGTCAAACCCGTTATCTTTCGAAGAACGATACGCATCGTGCATGGTCAGTACAGAGTTGTGGCACGGCACGTTATTTTTTGTACTTACTGATGCTAATTCGAGCGGGCTGATTGATGCAAGCCTAAACGGCGCAGTAATCTAACGATTGCACTTACTGTTAACGGAGCTCTGTCTGAGCTTTGTTTGAGTACACGGCATGTTTTCAGGTCACATAAAAGTAACATGTTTCAGATGTATAACTGTGTAATCAATATTTGCCAGCTATCATTTCGACCAACCATTTCGAAACCCACCATTGTATTGTAACAATATGTTTGTACGTCTGCGCATTACTTATCGTGTCTGCTACGATGTATCGGGATTGTCGACAGAAGGGACTGATACTGACTACGGTGAACCGTACGGCATGCCTGAGGCGGCTGCATGGAGCGGCAGTGATTCGTCTGCAGCGACAGTAAGGACAGCAGCAGGTCCAACATCTCCACAATACTTCCATTTGTTGTTCGACAGACGGAAAAAGGTGCTAATGGCCTGGGATTCAGGCCTATTCATTCAAATCATCTCGCTGTACATAACGCTACTGACACTCGCTGTGAATATATCTACCACCTTTACGATGTAGGCAAAGAAGCATAACGCGAGAATGAAACCGAAGAAGCTTAGGGGAAACGGAGGCGCTAGACATTGTACAGTAAATATGTTTATGACATGCATAGATCTTGTGTCGTCATTCAATCATTAGCTAAACAAGAGTTCACAATGCCCTATCCTTGTGAATATTTCTAAGATTTTTCTAACATGCTATGGATGCACAAAATATGTTATGCAGGCTTTTGGTTTATAAATTAGTTTACTTTCATCTAGGCCATATAGATCGAATCTGCGTATTATACACGTACGTATTCAAAAGAGTTACAATAGGACAAAAGAATGTTTCCAGAGTATGTACGATATGCTTTGAAGTCCATGAGGAAGCTTACACTGTTTAGCGAACTTCGAAAGCTGAAAACCAACTTTCGTGTTATGAGAACGTTCTTGCACGGCTAATCAGAAATTGTTGCATACATAAACTAGGGAGTAGCGTATCAAGCGTACAGCCGAACCGTCATGCACCAACCATTAAACAAGCAAAATCGACTACGGAAAAAAGGTAAGGTTATAAATGTCGATCGCGAGCCAGGTAGAACTGCCATACCCAATCGATACCTGCCTACAAAACCCTGTGAGCTCTAATACCCAGCGTGGTGCCTATATGGACATCATTATACACTACGACCAAACTGCAACAACTAGTTGATTAATCATACAATACATTTGTTTTATCACTACATAATCCATATAACAGTGATTGTTTTGCTTCAGTGGGAAGAGGTTACAGGTATTAGTAGGAATTGTGCAAGGTGACAACAATAACTATGGACGGAAGGGTTAAATATGTATGATTGCCTCGTATATCTAACGGTAAGCCCTTTTTGGCAGCCTCTGATGCACGTATGAGCTACTAAAGTGTTTGGTACATAGTGCTTGAGGTAAAAGAAGATCAGGGATACAACATAGCTATGGTCAATTTCGTTACGAAGTGAGCGAGTCCATCTCATTCCATCATAATTAGGATATGATTTGTAAGACTCCTCGCACGGCTTATACTACCGTGCGTTTATAAACCGTAAAAAGCAAGAGGCCTGTAATACGTTTCTTGTTGCACTGGATACAGAGGATTTTTATAACTTCAAAACCGGGCTCGAGAAAACTCCCATAACGGCTATGTTCTATTAAAAGTACTGAAACTGTTCAGGCGATAGCGTTCTACTAGAGCTGAGAGATCCACAAGTACGGCTAGGATAATTGTCCGCACTTGAGTTGGTGGCCAAGATAATCGGATTAGTTGGTGTACCAGATCATAGGGCTTCTTCTTCGAGGCGCTACGACAGCGACCGCAATGTGGGATGACGGGTTAGGACAATTGTGCCCTCTGAGCTTTTTTAACAGATGTTTTCGATCTTCTGTGCTGAGTCAGTATTATATAATCCATCCCTGGTTAAAAAAAAATACGAACATATGATTTGAATTCGCTCTTGGTAACCGTTCGTGCGAATGTGGGCTTAAAAACACGAGAGACCCAGCGAGATGTTGTCAATGGACTGAAGAGTGTTCACGTAGGCCTTATATTCTCCTTTTTTTTCCCGTAAGTGCTTTTCAATCCTGGATAACCTCTACGATCAGATAGAAGAAGTTTTTATACTACCCGCTAATTATCAAGAATACTGCATCTCAACTCTCTCATAAATCATATGCAATCGACTTTAAGGCTCACCGACTCTCTAGAAATGAATGCGACGCCAGTCTTCTACACGCCATAGGAGCCTACAAGCATAATATCAATATACTGTTCTACTACCAGCGATATAATTGAGATTGTGCTCACCTTTATTGACTTTGTTAGCACATATATATTTATCAAAATTTGCTCAAAATGTGTACAAAGGCGTGATGCCAAAAGGCAGGTATGGTTATACTACACAACTACTATTCGCTTAATAAATAGTTTAATACATTAAATAATAATAGTTTAATACATTATAATAATAATCTACAGGTCTGCAAATTGCTTGCACAAACGTTTGCTTTGGCAGTATACTAATTAGTCTATTACAGGCTGTTTATTAGGACACATGTCCCTAGTACGGTCACCGTGCACTCCTTACTCAACTTGTAAAATGTATCCTTCTTACTTTCATAAAACCTCTTATGTATTACATACACGTTCATCTTCGTATTGTGCAAATATACCGTATCTGCTTATGAACGCCTGCGCGCATCATCTGTCACTATAGGGACTCCCCCATATACATAGAGCAGTTAAGTCTACCTCCGTGGCTCGCCTCCAGGTAAGCAGTTACCGTGGCCGGAGCTTCTTCCAGTCGACTGGAACAGGATCCCAAACGATCGCCGTGTGCTTAACAGAAAACATTATGGATATCTGACGGAGGTCATCTTCGTGTGTTGTCTGTCCAGCTTCGACTTTGGGTCTGGCTTTTTTCATGCATTGCTCTCTAGTCGTTGAGCGAAGAGGGGTTTGAAACAGGTACGCTACTACATCAACGAGTCAGGTCCATACGTTACCCTCACGCCCACCGCGAAAGGCAGAAAGGAAAACGAATTGTGAGGAAATGGAGTCAAGGGAGGGAAGCCCAAAATGGTTTACTCTAACTGTTGGTTTCTTTATCTATACACTACAGTGCGTACCGTGTATACGATGTTAAGTAAGATACGCAACCTTACGACGTTCTAAATGATTACGCAGCACCACATACATGTAGCATACAAAGGGTGTAAAAAGTCGTCCAGCCGTCTGAGGTTGTGGAACTTGTTGGAAAATCTCATAATATACAACCACAGAACGACGAATTGCATAACTTTTTCTAATTTCACAAAATAATTAAACACATACGGCGAACTGGAAGCTTGTTTATTTACTATTGAAAGTGAGAGAGAGAGAGAGAGAGAGAGCGAGCGAGAGAGAGAGAGAGAGGACGAGTGAGGGGCATGTTTACATGTGTATCATGCTACAGCATTTAATTCATAGTGTACCCAGGCCTTCAGCCTTCTGGGTCTTTATTATCTGGTTCACATGGTTATGTACATCCAAAAGGCGGTAGGGTACTCGTGGTTGAAAGCCCTGAGTGATAAAACGTAGATTTTTTTTAATGTGAAACACATGGAATAATTGCGTAGGATTGATTTTTTATGCTTTCGTAAGCACCATTTGACCAGCAATAATTTAAAATATTTAGTCACATACACAATGAAATTCGACTGGTGATATTTACACTTTTTTAATCTGTGACTATGGTAGTTGTGTCATGGAAGACTTATCAAACGGAAATGCAAAAGTTTGGTTCAACGGGGAGAAACAAGTGTCGTTAAGCAAATACTGGAATTTGTCGTCGTAGAAGCGATTGGGGTAACGGGAAAAAAATTAATACTCTGGTCGCGAGTTGTAACCAAAAGCGGACTGCACGACGCGGTGCAAACGCGGGTGGAAACCATGGAAAGTACAAAGTTAGGAAATGTGGAAAAAGTGAACAGAGATAGCTACAAAAGTCATATGCTAGGCGATAAACAATATTATTATATATGGAAATTAATCACATTCCTTCTCTCAAGTACTGAAAAGTTACACAAATTATGCCCAAATGATTTTCTAAGTTCGAATACTGCACCGACGCTTTTCCCGAGGACTTAATGGAAATCCTGTGCCGTATAGGCAAATGAAATAGGATAGAGACCATACAGACGATGGTGTAATCACGAGAGGAAGATTGGTAGAATCATCGTCGTCGGAGAATTTAGTACGGCTGATTCTAACAGTGACTGGAGCCTACCATTCCTAAAATCCGAGTCCACGGTCGGGTGTGTTGGCCTACAACCAGCGCAATTTGGCTCGTGACAATAACCGAAGAAGGTTTCATGTACAGAGTTAATAGTACCACTTTACGGATGAATCCCTTTGGTTGCCAGCCTCTTAACGGGTGAACCAATGTATAGCTAGACGAGACCAGGTTCGCGCGAAATTATCAGCACCGTGTCGGTATGAATTTTCGTTGATAACAGAGAAGGCGGTTTATGCGTACTTAGGAGTACATGTCGAATTTTCACCGAAATTGCGGGTTAAGAGGTATGAACAGTTTCGTTGTCTATGCTGCTACTGTATAGACCCGTCAATGGATACATCCCTGCAGCCCAGGTCACATACAGACACAAATTCATTAAAGCTGGGCTGTCGAAAAGGGATTGATCGTAGTTCTAGCCAGCTGATTTTAGAGTCACATTTCTCTGGTTATACAAGTCGCGTTGTATCATTTGGTCGTCGTTGGTGTTGCTAAAAGGCTCATAAAGCTGCTGAAACTTTTAGAAATGCTTTTATTCAAATTTGAAATAGAGAACTTTGAGAATGAGGTGGAATTTTTGCAAATATTCGTTATATTTTACAATTACATTACGATGAAAGTGCAAATGATGCCCAGGCCCATAAAAACTAGTTCTGGTTAAGATGCGTGAACAGAAAAAAACTGGTTCAAAGATGATTGTGTCACTTTCGTTCGGGAAACTAACTGCGCAGGAAGTTGGTGAAAATCCACGGAAACCCAACGAACTCGACCCATTGATAGGGCAACTGATTATAGGTGGTAAAAAATAAGTATATGTGAATTAAAAAAAGCGAAAATCTACCCCATACTCTGTGGTAAAGTCCAGAATGATCCAAAGGATGGTGGTGGTACGTGTTTAGGGGGCGACCGGAGAAGAATCGATCATTATGAGTTGCTGCTGCTGCCTGGCAAAATGATTCATTCGCATCTTTACTCTCAACGGCTAACAATATTACAACAAGCTATTGAAAAAAATTGACCGGAACTAATGGATAGAAAAAGCATTGTATTCTACCACCAAAATACAAGATCACATACATTTTTTGCTACCTGTGAAAATTGAAAGAATTGATAGATGCGCCATATAACCCACATCTTGCACAACCATTAGACCATTTATCTGCTGCGGTCTACACAAAACTCTTTTAATATCCGTTGATTTAGTTCTAGAACGATGGGATTACAGTGTTACCGGAAGAATAACAGAAGGTCATCGAAGAAAATAGTTTAGTAAGATTGTTTTAAAATAATGCAAAATATT